ATAAATGATCATGATTGATGATATGAAGCGGTAACTTTCATTTTATTTTCTAAAAAAAGAAAGAAAAGAAACTCAATTTATAGCTTGTGACATCATCTCTTGTAGGCAAAACGCATTACTTCTTTTTTTTACAAGACGCGTTACACGAGTCACGTTTTTTGGTTTCTTTCTCTTCAGATTATCATTAAAGACATTTAAGGCTATTATGAAGTGTTCATCAATTTTCCAAACAAGTTTAAATTTTTTTTACATTCATTCATCTTTGGTTCGTGAAGTTTGTTGTATAGCATTTACACTGTTTAATGTACGTGCAACATATGTGCAACAACGTACGACATGCGTGTCAACCATTATAACATTATTTAGGGCATAATTTATATTGGCATCTTCTTTATTTCATGCTCTAGTGTTTATAACTGGTTCTTTTAAAAAAATATATTTTCTTGCTCAATAGCAGTTGATTAATAATAAGATAGAACATGTTTTCTTTCCTTGCTTTCTCGATATAAATATTCTCGATCTATATTGTCAACTAGAATAGATATTCAATTTACTCTCCTAGCAAGTGTTAATAGTAACTTGCGACTTGGATAAATTGAGAAGCTCAATTAATTTCATATTCTTGATATATAGTAAGTTTTTAAATGAAAACTTAAGTATCAATTTTCTTGTGGACAAATTGTTAAATAAGAACAAGTGAAGTCTATTATGATATCTTTATATAATTTTCTAAAATATTCCATACAACAGTTATTATCGTGAAATAAAATATCCAAAAATTGCGTTATGCTAAAGTCTAAATTATAAAATTTATTTACTAAAAAATGTAAATTTCTTGCCCAAAATTAGCAACTTCTTCTTCTTCTCTAGCCACCATCTCCTCCTTCTCCTATTCTTCATATGTAGCCAAAATCACTATCACTACTACCTTCTACTTCTTCATATTCGACCATCATCATCAACTCTCCTCCTCCTCCTCCTCCTCCTATTCCTCATCATCATCATCATCATTTATTATATTTACCTGCTATTGTCGGTATTGTTGTCGCTACTGTCATCACTTTCACCTCCTCATTTTCAGATTCAGCCATAACCACCATCACTACCACTTTCTTCTTCGCATTCGCCCTCTACTAACAAATCAAACATGCAAGCTCAGATTTGCAGAGCTCCCATGGAGTCTTCTGGAAGGTTCTGAGGGAAGAGGAGAGAAGGAGTGGATAGAACAGATGAGCGGGGAAATGTCTGTGTGAAAAATGAACCTTAATTTCATTTCTTCAACTGTACCAATATATATACACATTGATCAATTAACCAAACTAATTACTAACTACTAACTAAGCTACTAACTAAGTATACACAATAAAGAATGTATAAGTACAAACAATAACCAATAACTATATTCAATACCCCCCCCCCCCCACAAGTTGGAGGTGAGGTCTTCACAGCCAACTTGCCAAGGATAGCTGAGTGTTTGACTCCTGTGAGGGCCTTGGTGAGGATGTCAGCCAGCTGATTGTGAGTACTTACATGGTGAAGAGAAATGAGGCCTTCTTGTAGCTTGTTCCTCACAAAATGACAATCGACTTCAATGTGTTTAGTTCTTTCATGGAATACTGAATTGTGGGCAATATGTATAGCAGATTGACTGTCACAAAACACCTGAATCGGTCCTGATTGGACAAGAGTAAGCTCTGCAAACAGCCTGCTCAACCACACCAACTCCCAAACTACTTTCCTGAGGGATCTGTACTCTGCTTCAGCTGAGGACAATGAGACAGTCTCCTGTTTCTTAGACTTCCAGCTAATAGGACTATCACCTACTAGAACAATGTACCCACTGACAGATCTCCTAGAATCTGGGCAAGCAGCCCAATCTGAATCACAATAAGCCTTGATTCAGCAGTCAGGACTGTTGGAGAAGAATACACCCAGGCTAGGGTCATTTTTGAGATACCTAAGGAGATGGAATGCTGCCGTCAAGTGAGTGTCCCTTGGAGTTTGCATAAATTGGCTTAAGAGTTGCACACTATAGGCTATGTCCAGCCTGGTGTTAGTGAGAAAATTGAGTTTTCCTACTAGCTTTCTATAGTAAGTGGGATCTGGTAGAAGGCTACCCTCTTGTGCCTTTAGCTTGACAGTAGGGTCAAGAGGTGAGGAAACATTACTGTAACCAAAACACTGATACTCCTTTAGCAAATCCAATGCAAATTTTATTTGAGACACAAGGATGACATCAGGTTTGTATAGGACCTCTAAGACCAAGAAATAATGAAGCCCGCCCAAATCCTTTATCCTAAACCTTTGATTAAGGAAAAACTTCAAGCTTGCAATCTCCTCTGAGTCAGTTCCAGTGATGATAACTTCATCAACATACACAACTACAAAGATGGTGGATGTGGAAGTTTTCTTGCAGAAAAGGGAGTGATCATTTTCAGAATGTTGATACCCCTTTGAAGATAATGCTTCAGTTAACTTTGCATATCATTGTCTACTGGCTTGCTTTAGTCCATATAATGACTTGTTTAACTTGCATACTACTCTACTTGGACTAGACTGATCAACTACAACTCCAGGTGGAGCCTTCATGTATACCTCCTCATGTAGGTCTCCATGGAGGAAGGCATTGTTCATATCCAATTGGAATATGTCCCAGCCTTTCTTGGCAGCCACTGTAATTAGAACTCTAACAGTTGTCATTTTCACAACAGGGGAAAAAAATTTTGTATAGTCAATCCCAGCCTGTTGAGTGTATCCCTTTACTACTAACCTAGCTTTAAACCTCTCAGTACTTCCATCTTCTTTATGTTTAATCAAATATACCCACATGCAGCCTATTGCTTGCTTTCCAGGTGGTAAAGGGACCAGGTCCCAAGTGTGATTGGCATGGAGTGCCTCAAATTCCTGTGTCATGGCTGCTTGCCAAGCAGGATTGAGGGTTACCTCTTCATATGAAGATGACTCACTATCATGACAGACACTTAGCATCAAGCGCTGACTTTCAGAAAATAAAGCATCAAGAGTGATATGATGGTGATTAGAAAATAGGGCATTTAGTGAAGGGGTGCAGTGTGATACATTGGACAGTTGAGTGGCACCACTAGGTAATTGGTAAACATAGTCTTTTAAGTAGGTAGGAGTTTGATGAGTTCTGCTAGATTTTCTCAAAACTGGTGCTTCTGATTGTTCATGTGGAAGTGAGTTCTGTGAACTGTTATTATTAGAGGAAGGTGTATCATTGGTGGATGATTCAGAGTGATGTTCTATCCCTGGAGATGTGACATTCTTAGTACTTTGTCCGATATCAGTAGGGGAAACTGGACTGTTGTCCTCAGAATAGTTACGGAATGAGACTGTTTTAAGGACGGTAGGGAAGGAGACCTCAAGGAAAAAGGAAAAACATTCTCATGGAAAATCACATCTCTGGAAATGTGGATTCTCTTGGTGGCTAGGCTTAGTACCTTGTATCCTTTTTTCCCAAAGGGATATCCATCAAAGATATGTGGGCTGGTTCTTGGTTCAAACTTGTCTCTGTATATCTTGGGTACAGTGGGGTAACAGAGGCAGCCAAAGCTTCTCAAATGAGTATAATTGGGCTTCTTTTGGTATAGTATTTCAAAAGGGCACTTGTTATTAAGATAAGTGGTTGGGAGCCTATTAATCAGATAGGTGGCTGTCAGAATACTTTCTCCCCATTATCTGGTTGGGAGTTTGGACTGGAACATCAGAGCTCTGGCAGTCTCAAAAAGGTATTCATGTTTTCTCTCAACTACACCATTCTGTTGTGGTGTATAAGGACATGTCTTTTGATGTATGATTCCTTTAGACTGGTAAAATGAAGAGGCTTCATGACTGGTAAACTCCAAGACATTATCAGATCTAATGGTCTTTATAGAGGTATTGAATTGATTTTCAATCATGGCCACAAAAGCTTTCACAGCTTGAAGAGCATTACTCTTGCAACTCAACAGATGTGTCCAAGTGGACCTACCGAAGTCATCCACAAGTGTAAGGAAATATTTGTAGTTATCATGTGTGGTTACATGGTAAGGTCCCCATATATCTATGTGGACCAGTTTAAACAATTTGGATGTGGTGCTGGTTCTTTGGGGAAATGGGAGTCTGGTCTGTCTTGCCATAGGGTATATAGGACAAATGAAGGGTTGTCTTGATGCAAACTTAGTAGGGATTGAGGATATGCCTTTCATCTTAACAAAAGGAACATGACCAAGCCTATTATGCCACAGAAAATTCACATCATGTTTATCAAGCACACATGAGGACTCATTCTTATTATTTGAAATGAAAGTATCTACATATTGAGGAGTGTGATATGAATGGGCATGACTAATGGACTCATGACTATTTACATTGGAAGAAGGAATGCAATTACAGTAAGAAGCTGAAATAGTAGAAGGTAAGGTGGTCTTTTTACCCCTCAAGCACCTGGAACAGAGATAATACAGACCCTCTTTGCTGTTACCAATCACCTGAGGCCTCTTCACTGAAGGGGCCTGCAACAAATAAAGAGTATCACTGAACAATACAAGGCATCTAAGATGTACTGCAAGGGATTGAACAGAAATCATGTTATACTTGAAAGATGGAACTTAGAGAACCCCATATAGGACAATGTCTGAAGAGAGTATCACATCTCCAAATTCAAGAACTTTCACTCTATAACCATTTGGTAGACTTATCAATAAAGGATAGGGCAATCTAGTGATGTTAGTGAGTGCATGTTTGTTAAAGGTCATATGGTTAGATTCTCCTGAGTCTATGATCCAAAGATCAGCCTTTGATTCAAAGCACTTGCATGAAGGCTTGTCAAAATCAATAGAAGAAGTACAGACAACAATACCTGCAAAGTTTGCACTGCCAGTAGTGATGTTGTTATTGCTGGAAGATCCTCCCACATTTCCTACTTGAAAATGCTGCAGCAGGTTCATTATCTGCCCATATTGCTCTTTAGTTAGGTTGACATTCTGATTCTCATCCTGCTAGTCCTGATTATCTCCACTCTCATGACCTATATCAGCTGGAGTCCCATGTACATTTGCCACAGACCCTTTTCCCCTATTGAACTTGTAGGTCTGGTTGTTTCCCTGATTATATGGCTGTGCATTGGCACGATTGAGGTTCTGATTGTTGTAAGAATTACTTTGAGGGTATCCATGCAACTTATAGCACTTTTCTTTTGTATGTCCTGGTCTCTTACAGTAATCACAGAATGGACGGCCTTTGTTATTGTTGTTAGCTGTATAGTGTGTCTTGAAGTTTCTGGCCCCAAATGGATTTTGATGCTGTGGATTTGCATTCACATGCAATGAAGTAGAATCCAAATTCAGCTGACTATTGGGCTTGAATTCCCTTTGTTTTTCTTCCTGTATCAAGAGAGAAAAGGCCTGACCCATAGAAGGCAAAGGCTTCATCATGAGGATACTTCCTCGTACTATTGTGTACACTTCGTTTAGTCCCATCATAAATTGGATAAGTCTTCGATCTTGTTCTGCCTTATGCATTGCCTCATTTGCCCCACATGTGCAATTGCAGTTGCACTGAGACTTGGTGCTCAAAGTGTTCAGTTCCTCCCACAGTCTCTTCATTCGCGTATAGTACGTAGTAATGTCTAAGGAACCATGTGTAAGATCATTGATCTCCTTCTGAATCTGATACAATTTTGCTCCATTCGTTTGGTCATAACGATCCTCTAACTCCCTCCACAACTCAGCTGAGTCATTCACATATTCCACACTATCAGAAATCTCCTTAGCGAGGGAATTGAGGATCCACGATGTTACCATATCATCACACCTCTCCCATTGACGGAATTGAGGTGAATCGGGGCTAGGTCTTCTAGATTCCGCATTTATAAACCCTAATTTATTCTTAAATGACAAAGCTCGCAAGACGCTCCTTCTCCATGAGCGATACCCAATTCCATAAAACAGAACTGCTAAAGTCATTCCAGGACTATCAGAAGGATGAATGTACAGGGGATTACCAGTATCGATGATCGATTGCTCACTTCTGCTTTTGTTAGGGCTCGTTTCTTCACTTTGATTGCCAGCCATGTGCGAGGTTCCAATTTGATGAAATCATGAGGTATAATATCATAAATCGAATCAAAGATCGTCAATTTTGAGACAAATTTCAGAATTGGGCTGAAAAACAGCGACCGAAGTTTTGGAGATCAACAAAGCTTAACTAAGCTTTAGAACTAGATTTTGAAACGCTGAGAAGGATTCGAACTGATATCCCGGGCTCTGATACCATAACAAATCAAACATGCAAGCTCAGATTTGCAGAGCTCCCATGGAGTCTTCTGGAAGGTTCTGAGAGAAGAGGAGAAAAGGAGTGGATAGAACAGATGAGCGGGGAAATGTCTGTGTGAAAAATGAACCTTGATTTCATTTCTTCAACTGTACAAGTATATATACACATTGACCAATTGACAAAACTAATTACTAACTACTAACTAAGCTAGTAACTAAGTATACACAATAAAGAATGTATACATACAAACAATAACCAATAACTATACTCAATATCTACCACCAGCACCTCATCCTCATTTTTGTTCTTTAAATTCCAGCCACCATCATTACTACCACCGTGTTATCTTTTCTTCTTCTTCTTCTTCTTCTTCTTCGGATCCGACTATGACTATCAATATATTTTTCTTTTTTTTCTTCAGATTTGAAAACCATCACCTTCCCCTCTATGAATGTATTTATTTTGATCGATACAAATTATACTTTTACTCCTTTTTCCATTTACCTACCGCTTATTCATTTATTACATCATTTATACCATTAATTTCTTTTGTTTCTAATGCAGGTGTTTCCTATATAGACGTCTCCTCTAATTGCCGCTTTTTCTATAATTTTAACTCGTTATTCAAAATTTAAGGGACGCTAATTGTGACGATCCAAAGGGTCATTACCATAATTCTTCCTTTTTCCGTACTTCCGAGGCCTTAAAAACCCCGCTTTTAGTTGCCTCAATTTGCGTGCGCAGTCCGGGCGCGTAGCCAGAAAGCTTTTATGTTGAAATATGTGAATTCTGTGAAAAATTTGAAGAATTTTGATATTAATATTGTTAAAGTTGACTTCGTTCAACATTTTGGGAAAACGGACTCGGACCCGTGATATGACGGTCCCGGAAGATCCGTAGAAAAATATGGGACTCGAGCGTATTCCCGGAATCGAAATCCGAGGTCCCGAGCCCGAGTAAAGAATTTTTGAAAGAAATTGTTTTCTGAAATTTGATATGAAAATTTGAAATGAAAATGAGATAGAAAATATAGGTATCGGGCCCGTATTTTGGTACCGGCGCCCGGTACAAGTCTTAGATATGCGTTAAGCGCTTTCTGTGAAATTTGGTCGAAATCGGACGTCGTTTGACGTGTTTCGGACTAAAAATGAGATATTTGAGTTTTATGAAAAGTTGGAAGAAATTATGTGTTTTGAGGCTTGATTCATAGATTTTGATGTTATTTTGGCGATTTGGTCGCACGAGTAAGTCCAAAGGATGTTTTTGAGGTTGTGAGTATGTTTCGGTTGGAACCCCGAGGGCTCGGGTGAGTTTTGGATAGGTGTCGAGTTGCATTTTTGAATTTGGGAAAAATTGTTGCAGGTCTGATCTGCTATCTTCGCATTTGCGAAGTATTTCTCGCAAATGCGAGCTCGCAAATGCGAGCCCAGGTCCGCAAATGCGAGAAAAGGAACACCTGCACAGGGATCGCAAATGCGAACACCCAGTCCGCAAATGCGAAAGTCCCAACCAACGTCAGAGTTTGCAAATGCGAACAAATTCTCGCATTTCCCAAGTTAGCAGGTCGGGGTTCGCAATTGCGAACCCCAGTTCGCAATTCCCATACCTGAGGTTCAGTCATTTTATACTTAGACGAATTTAAACCCATTTTCTTCATTCTTTCAAAACACAAACTCCATTGGCGATTTTTCACGAACTCTCTCTTCTCCAAATCATTTGTAAGTCAACTTTTACTTAATTTCTTCAATCTTTAACATCATTAAACATGTTTTCATCTTAAAATCAAGGAATTTCATGGGTGAAATTGGGGATTTTGGGTAGAACCTAGGTTTTCATTAAATTGGGGATTTTGGACCTCAATTTGAGGTCTGATTTCAAAACAAATCATAGATATGAACTCGTGGGGGAATGGGTAATCGGGTTTTGGTTCGAACCTTGGGTTTTGACCACGTGGGCTCGGGGGCATTTTGGGAATTTTTGGGCAAAACTTTGGGAAATTCATTCTTATGTATTCAAATTGATTTTACTAGCAATTGTTGATACATTTGAGTCATTTATGACTAGATTCGAGCGGTTTTGTGGTGAATTCGAAGGGTAAAGCTATACTAGAGGCTTGAGTTGAGTTTGGAGATTTCGAGGTAAGTGTTTGTTCTAACTTTGGCTTGAGGGAATATGATTAGGATATTATTTGCTAATTCCTAATATGGAGTGAGGTGTATAGGCATGGTGACGAGTATCTATGCACCGGAGTCTAGCATGACCGTGAGTCGTAATTGTGTTTTATTCGGGTTTTGTGATACATCTTCCTTGTTTAATTGATCAGTTTCATATAATGTGAATTGTTTGAGGAAGAATTGTGGTTGGTATATTGTCGGGAGCATTGGCTCGAACGAGAATGTGATAATTGAGAAGTAAGTGATCAAAAAAGGAAGTGTTGTAATTGTTCCCTTGCCGGGACGTGTATTTTATTATTGTGGTTGCTCCCTTGCCGGGATTTAAGTGTTACATGTACTCCCCCTTGCCGGGATAATTGAGCTGTTAGTTGTACCCTTGCCGGGATTTCTCACATTAATTGTTACTCCCCTCGCCCCTTATTTGCGAATGTTGTCTGAGTAGTTATTTGAAATCTAAATATAAATGGATCGGGTTGCACGTCGCATCACTCCTAAATATAAATGGATCGGGTTGCACGCCGCATCACTCCTAAATATAAATGGATCGGGTTGCACGCCGCATCACCACTAAATACAGATTAGGGATTAAGCGTGCTCGTTCTTGTATATTGATTATCCTGCTCTCGTTAATGAATGTGGTTGTGCAGTTTTGTTCTCTTTTTGCTGACTTTATATCCGGACTGTTACTTCTCCCCATAGCATGCTCCCCCTCCTCCTAACTGTTTAATTCCTGCGTTTCCTTCTATTGTATATATATATATATATATATATATATATATATATATATATATATATATTGAACTGTACAGGTTTGTTTGGTAGTCCTGTCTAGCCTCGTCACTACCTCGCCGGGGTTAGGCCA